CTGAGTCTCCCTGGGCTCAGGGGTATCCATAAAAATTTCCCCCCCCCAAAAAAAAAAAAAAAAAAGGGTTACCCATCACTTTCTCGCACTATTACATTACGTGGTCACAGCGGCAAAATTCTAACGTGAATCTGTTATCTATGATTCTGTTAATAAGAATCCTAATAATTATATTTATTATTATTATAAGATATTATTTATAAGATTTATTTCAAAAATATATTAAAAGCGCTTAAAATGTTATATTTCGGACACGTACTTTTAAGTAACGTAACCAAGGTATTTGAAATTGCTTGTCCAAGTTTAGTTAATAATTAGACATATTCACTACCTACGTAATATTTATCGGCAATACGAATAGAAAATTCGCGAAGTCATGACGTGTCATTATATTGATATAATAAGTCTGTATTTTTGATATATACTTAGATTACTCTGCAGTAAATAAATAAAGAAAACAATAACTGAACGAGCCTCAGGCATAAGTATTTTTTTCTTATTTCGTTTCATCTTTCGGAAATTGATAATAAACAGCCGCATACAGCACAATTCACGACCGTTATAAATAGTAGCGTAAAATGATGTTTCGTATTAACGTACAAGTTTCGTAATGAATAAATAAAAACTATATTCAAACATCAAAGCCGTCTTCCCGCGAAAACGGCTCGCCGGCAGCCTTGTTGTCGTTCAGTCAATGTGACCGACAATGTCCCCGCACATTGGTGGTGCGGTATCTAAAACTAGGGAGGGGCGGAAAGAGTCCGTTTTCATTCTTTATTCTCTGGTCAAAGTACTTGTTGTGAGTAGGAGATATTAATCTGTCAATTATAATTTCATAAAACATAATAAAAAGGCGCCCTTTTTAGTTCTGAACCAAAATTATATTGTCTTCTAAGTACTCTGTCGTCTAAGTACTTGCTACTGAATTGCAAAATATCATTATAGTTCTATACACAGATCTATAAGTTTCAAAAAAGAACGTCGTATTTTTCCTAATTAAAACATCTCAAACGTTACACTGTCCCCTGATTGGTCAAAATATAAGCAGTACTTGGCCAATCACGGACACTTCTATTCTATCCGTTTGATTTTTGTATTTTTTTGTTGTGTAGCGTATAAATGAGAGTGGCTTTGTTTGAGTTTGTTGTCGTAGATTGTTAACAGTAATCTTTAAATATTGGTCGTGTTTCATTATTTTAATTTCCTCATAAAAAAAGGATTGTATGCAATAATGTAACTTATAATGTAACTTATAAAGTAACTGCCTCCGTGGCCGAACATTATGGTCTCCCATAAAGAGGTCCCGGGTTCGATTCCCTGGCCGGGAGAAATATTTGTATGGCCTACATTTATTTCTCTCGTGAGTTTGAGTGTAATTTATGGTGTTCTATGTGAGTGTCCATAGCAGCCGCGACACAGGGTTTCCCTAGTGCGGGGCTATGAGTATGTGCGTTACTTATTTATGCGTTATTTAAATCTGAAAGTCTCGTACCTGTTACTTAGGCTACTCGGAAAATACTCGTGGCCTAAACATGGTACTTGACTGTAAGAACCCTCATTATGCAACAATCGCATAAAAGTACTATTTCCGACCCACTCTTTATTTAAACAAATTTAGTCTGCTTGCAGGTGTGAAACAATTCGTGCGTATACACGTGTACGTGCGTATACACGTGTACGTGCAAAGTCAAAAGCTTATGAATTATATAGGTTATCAACGAAAAATCAACACATAGTATACGAATTTATTTCAATAATCGTTTAGTTTAAATATTACCTAGAGTTGTATAAAATAAATTAAGTAATAAATTATTAACTTAAAGAAAAATATAAAACCTGACTAAAATAAAGACGGAATACCGTAATGTTGAACGAGTAAAATTTTTGGCAAGAAATATTTTGGTTTCAGATAAAACTTGTGCTTAGGCCTTTCGAAATGGCATTTGTGACCAGGGCTTTAGCGTGATCGTATTTTCAGGCATCCTGATTCTTGTTCGACCAAAAGACTACACGTTAACTCTCTTGCCTATTCCTAAAAAAACTTATATTAAAAATCAAAAAATACTTTGGGTTTTTTATGCTTTGGAAACGTAAAGTTTGCTTACTAAATACAAATCTTACATATAAAACTTATTTCAAAACTAATACCAAAAATGCAGTTAATATTTTTTATACTTGAAATATTTTGTCGTAATGTTGTAGTTTCTCTATTTTATTGTTGGTTCACAACAACATTAACACATTTGACTATTACTAATTTCAGGCTTCTTACCACGGTATAACTCCTTTTTATTTTCCCGATATTTCGGAACGGTTGCACGCTCCAATGACAGCTTTAAGAGCAGACATATCTGTCTACCCTCTTGAGCTGTCGGCGACTACTACCTTCATCGCGATTTGTTGTGGTGAAGAGCCCGAAACGTCGGTTTGTTTGAAAAAACAAATATACGCGATTTAAATCTGGAAAAATATTTTCATTTCCCATGATAAATTCCAAATTAAATTTCGTACATAAATTCCGAAAACTCAGAAGTGTGAGCTTGTATTCGAACCCACGGCATTCGCATGAAAGACGGTAGTGGTAACCATTAGATAGGCTTTAGTTTACATGTTTTGTTGCAAATATTTCTGTTCGTTTATACAATTTTCTAATTCATCGTGATATTTATCGATTTTCGCATCAAATCCCGGGCTCTGTACATCGTAATCAAAACTGTTCCCTGTAATGACCTTTTCTTGATTCAATGTTGAATCGAATCTAACTTTTTTTCCAGGTGTATTAGTCTTGTTATGAGAAACGTCTACATTGTCAATTGATCTTTCCTTCAATGGAGTAACGTTCATATTAAGTCGTGTGTTACGCAAAGTTTTGATGGTTTCGTACTGATGTTCTTCGTCATCATCGTCTATTTCTTCGAATATTTCAATTTCGTCGGAGTTATCCAAATTCAGTGCTGGATTTTCTATCCCCGATTCGTTTTTCTTAACTTTCTGCTTAGGAAGTTTCCTCGGAATCTCATATGGATTCAAAGTTACATTGTTATCGGATTTTTCGCCCTTGAATGTCTTTTTTAATTTCTTAAAAACCTTTTTCGACAATTTACTCGCTTTTAAAATTTGGTGTTTCAAATCTTTCTTACTTTCATTTGATTCATTTGAACTGTTGACGCAATGAGATTGACAATTTTTATTTAAATTCATTATATCAACTGCACTGAAATGTGAAACGTCATGTCCAAGAATTTTGCTTTGTTTATTGAAGTGATTTGGTTCTTCTTCGCCTACGTTTTCGTATATTGGACTTTCTGAGCGATACCCGTCTATATTTTCGTACTCATGTTGCTCTATATTCATGGAATCATCGACAGTTGAAATTGTACTGTTCGTGTCACCAATGAAAAGTCTTCGAGGCATCATGTTATTAATTTGAGGAATTTGTACCTGAGCAGGTCTACTGAGAGCTTCATCATTGTATTGGAGTTCTGGTTCAGTAATTTCAGGATTACGAAATGGATTTTCGATAGCTTTAGGCTGGTTTGAGTTACCGTCAATGTTTGGGTCCAAAAAAGGATTAGTGTTTTTCTTTTTGTCGACTATTCTTTTCTTTTTAGTAATTATTGTTATTGTTTTGATTTCCATTATGTTGCTTTCGTTTAAATCATCATCCAGGCAAAGAGATGATTTTGAGATGTTAGGTGAATCTAAAGCTAATCTATCAATAAAACTTAGACTCAAATTACTCGGCGTATTAACGAAAACCTGATTGGTGATATTTGTTTGAATACTAGTTGTGTTATTTATAGCAGACAAGTCAAGACTGTTACTAAATTCACTGTTTGTAGGATTAAAGGATTTTTGTTCCAGCACCGAAATACCGGAATCTAGTTCAATATCATTTGGAGGATAGTTTTCAGATATTTCCATACAATTTCGTGCGGCTGAATCGTCCATATTAGATTCCTTTGCTCTGACTGTGTGAACATCAGGAGCCACGTTATGAATAGTAATTTGAGCATCCGGGATGGTTATCTCATCTCCTTCAGCTGTAGACATATTTTGGCAAGTATTATTTAAATTTGTTTGCATAGGCACAGTTTTAGGAAGTAATTCAGGAGTAATGTTTGAATTTGCTTCCATATTGAGCATTTTATCAATATTTGTAATACTGACATTGGAAATAGGTGTAACAGCACAAACATTTTTAAGAGGCAACTCAGGCGCGGTGCATAAGTTTGCATAGAAAGGCTCTCTCATCACAGGTATTCCATTGTCTATACTATCTAAAGTACTAAAATTTAAAGTGGGTTCAGAAATATTCATTCTCGGTTCCGAATTCTGTATAACATCAACGCTATTGTACGGTCGGACGTTTTTACGAACGTTTTCGAGTTCTTTGGCAAGAAATTCATTTACGGCGGCTTTGCTTATACCTAGATCTAAGGCTGAATTTTCGAAGGCTGTTATGTCGCAACTTCTGGTACGCTTTCTTTTTTTTATTGGGACGATTTCCATTGCAGTGTTGCACATAGGGTCGTCGTTGGCGAGAAGGTCCAATGCTGGGTTGAAATAAGCGTTTGTGCACGGTGTTGCAATCTTCCGCTTACTTTTTGTTGGTAATACTTCAAATTTATTGTTGTCCACTGGGTCCATTGTCCTGGAAGATTATGAAAGCAATATTTAATAAGGAAAAATCGGTAACATTTATATAAGATACGTAAATACGTGAAATAACAAGAAATACCACATTTATATCATCCATCATCGTCATCCCATTATACGTCCCACTGCTGGGCATGGGTTTTCTGTAGCAGAAGATTTAGGGTAGGGAAATAATAAAAGTTCCGAAAAACAAATGAAATTGCAGAAAAACCATGGCTACCTGTAATACTTATTAAGCTGCTTTAAAATGAGTTACTGAAGAAGAACCACAGAATATACCGACAAATTAATCATATATTTAGCAAATACCTAATCAAGAACTTATTCAATTCCGAATAATATAAGTACTAAGCCTCCAAAAGAAGTACTAACTTACCGATGTAATAAGTACTATGTTGTCACTTGTAATAGTCTTTCTATATGAAGGATAGTATAACAACCACCAAAGTTTAAGAAACATATAAGGTAGTAGCAGCAGAGCTCCTTGTGAAAGAGTTCATCTAGAGTAGTACTGCCACCTTACCTATTTCTGCCGCCAAGCAGTAAAGTCAGCATTACTGTGTTCCGGTTTTAAAGGGTAAGGGTGCTGGTGAAATTACAGGCATATGGGACTTGTCAAGTTATGTCTCAGGGTGATGGGTGCAGTGGCCCCTTAATCTTTGCGATTTGAAGCTCTGAGGGGCACTGCAACTGTTACGGACAGGAGTGTAGCTTACCACCAGGTACACGACTTGCTCGTCCAGTCACTTGATATTATAAAAAAGGTAGCTTTTAAATTTATATGTGGTGATTTACGATAAAAATGGCTAACAATAAGTTTTTATCAAATTTTTCGGTACTTTCAGTGTTTCATTCGATATCGGTATTTTTTATTTTAACAAAAGTTTGCGGTTGTTTAGGAAATAGAGCAGCGATATTCATAATTTAAATAAATTTATTTTTAATTTATTTTTCGGGGCTTTTTTTACTACCATTTAGGCTATACAATTATAGTCTGCTATGTTGGAACAATGCACATTATCATACGTTCTTTGGCGTGCATTTCATCATGATAAGGTACATTAACAAATGTCATAGCTACCTATATGTCGTTATGCGATTGGAACTTCGAACACAACGTACACACATCAAAAAAAGTTTGCGATCACTTCGAAAAACTGAAATCTTTTATGTTACTGTAGATTATATTATGATTTTTTCTTCTTTTTAGATTCTTTATTTAAAAATAAATTAGAACATAAAACAATGACCCCGTTCAATTGTTTTTTCATATAAAAAGGCTTTCAGTCCTAGCTTACGCTCATTCAGAAATCTGATTTAGTCAATTATAAGCGATTCAAGATATATTTCGCGGAAAGTTGTGATTGAAAAAATGCCAAGAGGATTATCAGAGGTTTTACGAGCTAGAATAGTAACTTTGAGGGAAGAAGGATACACCACGAGAGTAATAGCACGCAGACTTGCTATATCCCAATCCTGTGTCGTGGCTACGTTGCAGAGGTATCACGGAATGGTGAATTTAGCTGACCGACCCCGCAGCGGTCGCCCAACTGTTTTGACAGCTGCCCAAAAGCGCTATATTAGATTGCTGGCAGCCCGTGATCCAACAATCAACGCCACTAAAATAAAAGCAGAAGTCAGGGCCGCCTCTGGGCTTGAAGTTAGCACGCAGACCGTTCGCAATTGCTTGCACCAGCCTGGATTACGAGCACGGAGGTCTTGGCGAGCTCCGCTCAATTCCCGGCAACGTCAACAACGAAGATTGCAGTGGGCTAGACTTCGGCAAAATGAAGAAGGTGAGGACGAAAACATTTGGCAAAACTGTCTCTTCGTTGACGAATCCCGAATCAGCACTCATCCAGATAACCGACGTGTCCGTGTCTGGAGAAGACCAGGCGACCGTGAAAGACAAAGAACTGCCACTGGAACAGTTCAGCAAGGCGGTAAATCGGTGTCCTTTTGGGGTGGCATTATGATTGGAGCTAGAACGCCTTTGATCCCGTATCGGGGCTTCATGACAGCAGACATGTACAAAGCAGTTGCTATTGATGATATCGTCAGACCATTCCGAGTAAACCATGGGCACCAATTTGTACTGGTCGATGATAATGCGCCCGCACATCGAGCTCAACGAGTCAATGCTGCTCTTCAAGAATACGATATCACACGATTAGACTGGCCTGCCGGCTCGCCCGACTTAAACCCAATAGAGCACGCGTGGGATGCTCTTAAACGAGCAGTATGGAACCGTGAGCCACGTCCCCAGACAGTTCCAGAGCTCAGGGAAGCCGCTATTGAAGAATGGGATAGGTTACCCCAAGAAATGCTGGATAACTTGATCCTCAGCATGCCCAGGAGGATCTTCGCATGTATTCGAGCCAGGGGAGGAGTTATTTTATATTGAATTCACACCTTTTAATAATAAATTGTTGTTTAAGTTTAATTAAACAGTCTTTTTCTTTCTATGAAATTTCTATCACCATTACATTATGATTAATGGCTCAATTTTTTAAAATAAATAATAAAAAATAGTTTTATATTTTTATTTCAAACAGGGTATTCCTATTTAAAGAAAGCATACAACATAGATTTTTTCTTGATAAAGTTAAATTTAAAGAATTATAGGAGCTTATGCTATTGATCGCAAACTTTTTTTGATGTGTGTACTACTATAATACAAATTATACGTCACTTTCACTATTGAGCAGTTTCAGTTATTTACAACACGATTAAAATTGTTTTTAAGTACTTTAGTATTAAACAACTTAACAAAATAAAGCTACACTCATAATACAATGATAATAAAGACAAATCTGTGAACTTTCATTCAAAAAATCGTCTTTGAAAGGAAGCAGAAATTGTATACAAAAATTACCTTAATATCATAAATTCCTGTATGAAACTAACAAGCCACACATTTACACATATAATATTCAATACTATTTCACAATAACACTATTAATAATAGTAGAAAACAATAACATTCAGTCATTCTTCTTTATTTTGCGATTGTAAACAAAAAACCGGAGGCAGGTGGCAGGTGCCTCTAAGCGACGGTTATTTTTTGACAGGGGATCGCAGTTGCCAGCTTACAAAAACAAATCTACTATTGAAATCTACCATGCGGTGACGTCAAAGTTCACTAATGCGCCAATAGATGGCGCTGATCTCAAATTTCAAACGTTTTCTGATACGTGTATTAGTTTTGTATACTGGATTAAAAATGCATTGGAATATTTATGAATAAAATACAGAAGTAATGTAAGGAATAAAATATATTTCTAATAAAAAATCACAATGCAGGTTCTTTGAACCGTAAACCACCGCTTTCATTTTTCAAAATAATTTTCATACTAACGATGCAATTATTTATTTTTGTTTGTTTGAAAATCGATTTTCATTAGAATGTGAAAATATCATTAAATGAAAATTATTATGTAAAATGATAATTTCTACAACAGTGCACTTTGTACAACATTCACTATCACAAAACTAAATTAATTAGGAAATAATGCCGCATACCTAATAATTAGTCTAATATACCTAAGGAATTTTTTTGTATATAAGTACATAAACTCCACCACCTGTATGAGAATTTATCTTAGAATGAAATTTACCTTTTAAAACTGAAATTAGAACATAAATTCGTCCAATGCTATTAACTAAACCAGAGCCGTTTTCAACGATACCTTAAAAATGTTTAAAATAAACTGTCGACAACATTTTGAAGCCACATCTTAATTTGTAATTCCTTATTTATGTATGTGTTTTAAGTTTTTTATATTTATTTTTGTTTTGTTTCAAAAAAAGGAACGATGTTTTGTTTTGTTTTTATATATTTTATAATATTTTCCTTCTTTAATTATTAACATGTATACCCAATTTTATTAGCATGTGTACCGATTAAATTCTACAAAGTTGTGTGTACCAGTAAAAGGCATATGTATAAGAACAATTCCTCTTAACATAACTAAAACATTTATTTAACTCAGTTCAATAAATAATTGGTAGTGTTAAGTACCACATGGAAGCTATTTAATATATAATTTTATATAAGTAAACGCCTAAGAGATACTTGAGCAACTACTAAAGAGAGAAGAGAGAGATAGCGAGCTTTAAAAGTAACCGTTTTTTTAGTTTACACACGCCCATGCATGCCATTGTAATAAAACTGCATGCCTTATTCCAGTGTGACCATGGTTGAGTATCAAATTTCAAAATTTGACTAGCCATAAAGTCGCTTTTAGTCGGTTCTAGTCGCGAAAAACTAGATTTAGTCGGTCCACCGTTCAAAAATTATAAGGGTATACAAACATTTGGAGCGGTGGTCCTCCTTAGATACACATTTTTCATTACGATTTTTCTACGTAAATGTACCTATCAATGAAAATAATTGACGATCCAATCCAATCTAAAATCTAAAATATCCAATATCTTCTATACAAAGGAGCGACTAATTCTGAAATTTCACGACTTTTCCTGGTGGTTCTCTAGATTGAGAAATGGTGCCCCTGGAATAAGCTTATTCCAGTGTGGACAGTAAAACACCCTTATAACTTTTGAACGGCGGACCGACTAAATCTAGTTTTTTACTAGAACTAGAACCGACTAAATAGTGACTTTTTATCTGGCTATTCAAATTTCAAAAACTCGACCATGGTCACGCTGGAATAAGACACGCAATAAAACTTTACTACTTATTGATGTATTGTTATCATGAAGTCTCCAGATTATTAGTTGACTGAGCGTATAATTCAGTCAATCGACGTATTACAACTAAAACTACGGACATAAGTTATCACTATTAACCCAAAAATATCCTAAAACAGACGAAAAATGTACAGATTTATCTGGGAACTAAATGCATTTAATGGAATTCCTGGAGAGTTTTCATTTTGTAATATTAAGTTCATTGAATATCACGATGTTTGACTATCATGATATTCAATTATTTTTTCTCGACTAATAAACAATTACTACACTAAGAAAAAAATCTTTCGATCCGGCTGAAAACGAATATCGTACCTGACGCGCTCCCAATTATATATGTGCGTTATTATTTTTAATTTTTATACAGTTCAGTCAATAACAATCGCGAAATGGTCGGCGGAAATGGAATGGTTAAATCCAGGTAACAGTGTTGTCATTATATGGTGCTAGAAACCAAGATCAGCCATGATGAGAGATCTGTGAAAATTTCGTGAGTAATATCACAAAATATTATTGAATATCTCGATGCCTCCAACGTACACTACGCCACGTTTATTTTTTGGTAATTTTCTGTTATTTTTGTAAACAGCCAAAGTATTTATTTACTAATATTATGTTCAATAAATTTCGTGAAAAAAATAAAAATAAAAAACAAACAAAATTCGAAAAAAAACAACGGATTTTGTGAAAAAAAAGAAACAAAAAACAATGTGAAAACAGAACAAGTCCAAAAATTAAGTTGACGTAGTGTTCATGGAGGTATTGATCTGTGAGAAATCTATGAAATTTCATAATATCAAACGCAACTTACAAAGCGACATTAAAATTGCATTTTTTTTTAAATACGTCACTGTAAAAACAGTAACTACATTCTTATTTTTAAAGAATTTTTCTTTGAATTACGTTCAGAAAATAGATTTTTCTCGACACCCTGTAGAGATATTTAAATTGACTAACAATTATGTTATTAGGGGCTAGTTTTATCGAAATCACTACATATATTGTGGTTAAGAGTCCATACTACCTCAGCTCGAATTAAAACTTTTCCCGTACTGAATCGGTTCTACTGCGTGAATTTATATTTGTACACACGAAATTGCATGTTCTATTTAGTTCAGTTCATATAAAAAAAAATGGTATATGTAAAGTACTACAGCGGATTTGAATACAGCGGTTTTCTTGTAAAATGTCAAGGTAAGTTTATGGTTTTTTTTCTATCGTGAAAATTTTTAGGAATTGTTGTTTTACACCGTATATCCTTAATTTTACTACATAATTACTTTTTTTCCAAGTAATTGATTGTACACTTTCAATGTTATGCGAAATCAAACAAAGCTATTTGAGGTTCTATAGACTCCAAGTAATTTTGTAGCTCTTACATATAGACGACCTCATCGTCCCCACTACCAGTAATATAAAAACACATAACTACAATAATATCATTACACAAGCTATATATTTTTCAGCGCAGAAACCACTACATGGCACATCTATGTCTCACGCCATCGTTCAATTTATATAAACTGTATATTCATAATAATTTTTGGCAGATGTCTTACTTTGGAATACACTTTCTAGGGAACGAATTAATTCTGCCCAATTCAGGTACGGTGCACAGCTCCCATGGCTACACTAAATATGAAAAATCTTTGTTACAAATGTTACCTTACGAACATTCAAATATAGCCCTTGCAGAAATATACTGCCGTCCTTATAATAAACAACAACGTTATCGACAATAGCGGGCTTTACACAGACACTCTATCGCGCGTGATACAACAATCGTGTGCAATTTTGACATTGGAAGCAAAAGTGAAAGACCGCGCACCACTTTCACACGGTCTATCCTGCGCATCGAGTATATAACCAGAAATCGAAACAATATGAGGGCCGTCCATCCCTGGCAACTCGTCAGGTAAATGGGCCTTAAGTCACTTTTAAATATCAACTCACGTTTGCGCTAAAATCACAAATTAGAAAACTGAAATAATACAGCGCTAACAACTGACCTATGTGTACAAATACACGTACAGTACACTATACGTCTCGGTATATTCCAAAAATATTCTGTATTTATTGTAATAAAGATAATATCTCTAACAATGGCGTGCAGTTCCATTCGGTGTTGTGGGGAAAAACAGCAAAACATCTAATTACAAAACAAACGGAATCAAATTTCGTCGTTAATTAAATATTAGTTTCTTCCATTATAGCAAAGCTCAACTTAAACCGACCCGATTCGATTATGAACGGTCGATTTCAAGTGAAACAATTGACGACACCAGTCAATTGTTTCGAATACGGGCTGGCCAATCGGAGCGCAGTTGTCATCGTAATGATTTGGCAGAATAGTTTTCAAACAAATTAAATGACATTTGGTCTCTGTTTCTGATTTTATACTCGATGATCCTGCGCTATTAGACTTTACATAGACGCTGTTTCCGTTGTAACAAAAACGAACGAATCGCGCGCGGAAGACAACGGTCTTTTTTCAGCTTCAGAATGTAATCACGAACGATTGCGCGTGCAGACATCTTCGCGCGCAATCCTGAACGTTCCTGGTCACGCGATAGAGTGACCATGTAAGGGGACTATTTTTAATGAAATTGAGTTATTAACATATCGGCATCCCTCATGGAAAAATGGCATAAGTGGAGTTACGTCAAAAATGTTCATTGCTCCATTAGACATAGAAAAATATAAACCACATCCTCTCCAATTCTTGTAACTCTACCTACAATATTTGTCGATAAAGTTACAAGAATTGGAGAATCCCCTCCAAGTATGTTATATTTTTCTATATGTAATGGAGCAATAACCGTTTTTGACGTAATTCCACTTATGCCATTCTTCTATGAGGGGTGCGATATCTGGAATCAGTAAAACGAGATCTACAACCCCCTACAAGCGGTTTTTTTTTAAATATCTTATTCAGTTTCACTTTTATTGTTAAGCAAAATCAGCGAGAAATTGATATTTTTCAAAGAAAATTAGAAATTTAGGTACCAATATCTCGAAGGTTACCAAAATAGAAATCGTCGGCTAAATTTGAAAACCTTTTTTTTCTCTTCAAGCGCAATATCTGACAATTAAAGCTTCTTTCTCATTATAAATCTGCGCGCAAAAGCATTTTTTCCACACTAGCGTGGAAAATGTTTCCGAAATTCGAACTTGACGATGGAATGTGGTGCACCTAACTTTTTCTTTCGATGAAACACGTAATTGAACATAATGACACGTTCAACTACGCGATTTATCGTACATTATTTATGTAATACAAACCCGTTGCTATATTGTATTCTTATTATTTTTGACATTAATTTGACAACGATAACTAATTTTGTTTATTAAAACTGATTTGTTATATTTCAACTGTTTTTCTTTCATCTAAAATGTCCTCGGCAGCAAATTATTTTGCGTTTCGTACCTTGAAATCAGGATTCTATTTTTGAACCTTCAATTGCTGAGGTTTCAATACAAATACTCGCGTCAGACAACAACTTTGCAGCCTTGCAGAACAAATAACCATTATGATGTTTTTTCGTTATTACATTGTAACGTACAATCATGAATTGTCGTATAATTATTTCTAGTAATTCTGGTTACGAGGTTTTCGAATTTTCGACGAAATGCGTTATTTATGACAAGGAAGAGTGTTGTATTCCTTATTTATGGATTAACGTGTATGCACTTGGATATAATTTTTTTATGATCTTGTTTCCCATTGCCGTTTTATTACACAAATTATTACTAATTTATACATTATTGCATTTTGATATATCGTCGGGGATAGTGGAATTACGCGTTAGTAGCATTGGATTATGAGTTTCCATTTCGGTAATTTAGTGGTCAAACTAAATCCGCGTATAATTTATTGTTATCAGTCCGTAGAGAATATAATACAATGCTTAATGTGCAAACAGGAAAGTCGTAGCCATTAAAATAACAAAGTAATAACATTAAATCCCTCTCATGTAAAATTTGATACGCGCCTTTTACCAATGCTACATATGCGGAATTGCAATATCCCCGACTATATAATCACAATAGTTGTCTTTTTTGTGATCATAGATTAATGTAAACAGCTAAAGATCGCGTAATATATTTCTTAAAACTAATAAACTTTGAATTTTTTATATAACCGCGGACTAGTCGCCTATCACATAATTTTCACTCTTCAAAGTAAAAGACCAGCTGCTCGACCAAACCTTAAGTACTTCGCCCTTTTTAAGTAGTCTAAAAATAATAACAATCACGTTTGGAATACAAATTGATTAAATCAAATTTCCGTACCTGAGAAGCGTTACACACTGTAAGAGCAGTTTGTACGCCAAGCTCGAAATGTTATTAAAAGTCTATTAGTTTTAATTCAAGCCATTCTAAATGTTGTACATGCTGCATTTCGACACGAAATCGCGTCCCCTGTAAAATTAGAAAAATAGCACTTACGGTGTAATGCTTCTCAGGTACGGATTTATACCCTCACGTTTCTCGTAACTATAGTTTCTTGATATGAAACTCACCATTTCTAACATATATAATATTATCATCACCGTTTTTAATCCCTTGTGACATAAGAAGAATAATATTACGTTAAATTATAATATTAACAGTCGATATTACCTCAGTTCGGCAGGGACACGGGCTTTATCTCAGAATTTATTTTTTTCACAAACGAAATAAAAGGTATTTGAAAAATGTATATCGTATACGTTGACTTACAAATAAATGGACGACGGGTCTAATACACAAACCACGAAAAAAATGTTCCAAGTCAACCTATTTAAACGTAGTGACATGTAAAGGAATATGAAAAAGCTAAAACGTTGAATTTAAATTGTAATGTCATCGCAGTACTGTCTAATTTTACTTGCTTCGCTGTCAGCCGAACAAACGAAGACTAAAGAATGACGCTCTGCATACGATTTTAACGCCCTATAAGTGCGGACACTTTTTAGCGCGGACCCGACGTCCATATAATTGTAAGTCAATGATCGTATACTATTACGCGTGTTCTACTTAGTCAAGTTGATATTGAATAAAATCATTGGTATATTTTTTTCATTGCGAAAGAAGTACTGCCACCTTACCTATTTCTGCCGCCAAGCAGTAATGTCAGCATTACTGTGTTCCGGTTTTGAAGGGTAAGGGTGGTGGTGAAATTACAGGCACATGGAACTTCTCAACTTATGTTTCAGGATGACGGGCGCAGTGGCAGTGCCCCTCAGATCCTTGCGATTTAAAGCTCTGAGTGACACTGCAACTATTATGAACAGGCGTGTATCTTACCATCAGGCGCACGACTTGTTCGTCCCGTCACTTGATGTTATAAAAAAAATATATGTAAAGTACCTATTGAATACTTTTTTTTGTAAAATTTCGAGGTAAGTTTGTTTTTTTTTCTATCGTGGAAATTTTTAGAAATATTGTTTTTCACACCATATACTAATCAGTGCATATCCTCAGTTATACTGTTATGCGGTATCAACCAAAGCCATTTGAGGTTCTATCGACACTTAATCTTATTTCGAATATCATGACTACCATGACATTCAATCATATTTTGTCAAATTACTTCACTAGTCATTAATACAAAGATCAAACACTCGGAAAAATTATTTCGATCCGAGGAAAAACTTTCTGTGCTTGCTGCAGAAATTCGTTTTTGGTTTTTAACGACTTTTGGTTTTAAACGCCATCTATGAGAAATCTATGAAAGTTTTTCGTCACTCAGCCAAGCACCTTTACTTCGAATTAGATAATAAAAAAGTGGAAATGAATTTGTGTAATGGTGCCTGTTTTTACGAATACTGTTGTAACAATACTTTTTCAAAGGAAAATATAAAATAACTTATTTTCCATAGTGATCACATTTTTATCAGTTCGATCTGGTACTCCGATCATAAGCGCACATGCGCATGCTTCCATATTATATATGCGTAGTAAAAATGGCGACGCCAGAAATTGACAAATTAATGTTTTAAACAAAATATCTTCGAATATAAAGTCACTAAGTTTTTTACTTATCTACTTCGAATCCAGCCGGATAGAAGGAATTTTTCATAATGTTCGATCTTTGTGTTAACAATTATTAGTTTTCAGAAAACCAATACGAGTATATTTAAGATTTTGCCACCAATACTACAGAGTAACAATATAAAATACATACTTTTTCATCACAATGATAGAATTATTTTCATTACTCGTTCGTTTTGCAAAAAGGTCACAATGTTAAAAACAATAAATTGTCGCCACGTTTTAAAAAGTTAACAACAGAATGTACAGTCAATGTCCTAATATACCTGACCCCCAGCCGACCTTTTGGTCAAAAAGATTAACATTCTTACACCAGCGTCACAGTTACATTTATGAAAATTTAAATTATGTTAAGAATAGTATTTTTTTTTTATAAAAAATAGTGACAGACAACATTAATACAAGAAATAAAAATAAACTCGCTGTTCGTGACAGCAATGTTCACTAATTCATTTAATGGGCAATGTATACTACACAATGCTTCTATAATAAGATTCCGTGTGATATTCGAAATTTAGGAAGTTTAAAACTTTATTTTTAAGAGTTTTATACAGCTTCTGCGTACTTGAATGACAAAAATTAAACCCGTTTAGCTCTTGCAAAGATTTTCTCGATGTTTGAAATAAATATTGTAAATGATAAATGTATTCAAATACAAAGAACAACCCCTAGAGTTTCTTGTTCATTCTTCTCAGGGTAATCTGCTTTACGAATGACCAGTAGAGTTTATTCAGTATGTCGATTTCAAGTGTAATTATGAAAAATTGAAATAAATATGATCTGAGATTGAGCTTCTGAGAGCCTTCTTACGCATTCAACGTTGTAAATAAATTACAGATTTTAGGTTGCAATTTGTTTTTATGTAATTAAAAAATTAATTGGCTTAAAAAGTTTCTTAAAACGTCATTCACTAATGATGCAATAACGTAGTCATACCAAAATTAATTTTACGGCTTATGGGTTATAGGTTAAGTTTGTTAGTCCACTTCACATAGGGTCCTGTGATATTTTTATGCTTACAAAAAGGCGCCTTTTTGTTTGGTTGTTGTGATTTTTTTTATTTGTTGTGTAATTTTTAGCAATTTAATAACATAACAATTGAATACTGTTCATTTTGTTCTTAAATTAGTCTCTAAATCGATTCGCACTTCGTTAACTCTCGATGAGATATTTAAATCGATATTTTTTCCTTCGATTTTACATCACTGCATCTCTAGAAACCCATATCTCCCAGTTCACAGTACCCATGCCATGTGAAATTAACTATAAACACTTCTCTTCGCACCGATGTAGTCAGTACCAAATAGACGGTCAGGTATCTTAAGGTATCGACTGTACACTTCCAGAGAATAATACAGAAGTAGCTCCAAGCACAAAATTCTATTTAATTTAGGATTGTGGAAACGTAAATTTTAATCTATGTCTAACTTTTTGAAATTCCGTTCCAAACCTTTTTCTCCCTTTTTAAAGGCTATGGCAACATGCCTTTGAGCCTCTTCTGCTACGAAGTAAGGCTCTATTGTTTGTAAATACTGCATGCATTTCTTGTGAAGTGTTTGAGTATCGGATAAAGTGCCACCGTAGTCTGGAGGTAGAGCTGAACGAGGTATGACAGTTTCGTAGAAATTCTCCAAATTCTCGTCTTTGTGGTGAAATTTGATCTGAAACGCGTGAAATGATAAATCAGTTTAATATTCTTTGTGAAACGGTATTATGAGTAAAAGAAATCAAATCGCTCTGTTTCTGCCGCCAAGCAGTAATGTTGGCATTACTGTGTTCGGATTTTGAAAGGTAAGGGTGCTGGTGAAATTACGGGCACATTGGACTTGTCAACTTATATCTCAGAGCGCAGTGGTAGTGCGATCTTTGCGATTTAAATCTTTATTCGTCTCGTCACTTGATGTTATAATAAATAAATAAATAAAAGTAGCCTATAAAAAGCTGTTGATTCACATAATTGCTGCAATGAACCAAAAAAAAAAAGGACACAACAAAATGACAGTTATTTTATGGATTTATTTCTCATACATTATTTTCAAATCTACGTACTTATATTTTGTACCAGTTTTAAGCGGTAAAGGTGCTGGTTATGTCTCAGGATTATGGGCGCAGTGGCAGTGCCCCTCAGGAATTTGCGATTTAAAAGCACCGAGAGGCATTGCAAGTATTATTATGGACAGACGTGTCGCTTACCATCAGGCGTACGACCTGTTTCTCCTGTCCCTTGGGAGTCAAAAAAAATATACATAGGTATATTTTGAGTTTGTAGATTTTCGCGATTGAATAAATATTTCTTTTTTATCTAAGAGGGATTACACACGACGGTTTTGTAGCATCGTCTACCGTTAGCGCGCGGTAGCATCGCTACACTTGGGATTTATAGGCGATCGCATCGCTGCTAAAAATTGCCGCGTGTAGCCACTCTAAATGGCGTAGGTATACAATGTAACCCGTGACGAACCTGTACAGAGCGAAAAGTTTGAAGAATCAAATATGCGCGTTTTAAATCCGAAAAAAATAGTTTTATTTCGCTTTAAGTCTTAAAGTTGTGGAACAGACTCCCTACCCATATCCAGTATAGCCCGTCTATCGGTTCTTTCAAGAAAAGGTTCACAACGCACTTTCTTGTTGAACACTCTCAGAACATCTCATTTATTACGACTCATTATAATACTTATGTAAGTAACGGTATTTATTTATTAACTAAATTTTATTTATGTAGTTTATATTTCTTTCTCATTCTCTCTTGCACGCTGTTGCCCGCTTGTAACCTTAGCTTTTGGCAGGGACAGCTAAGGTTATATATAGGCTGGGTGGGCTAGAAGAGATTTCTTTTAGAGAAACCATTCATCTTCTGTTAACCCAATATTTCTGTTGTGTTTATTTGGTGCAATAAAGAATATATTAAACTTCGTCTTACCATATCAAAGAATTTCTTGTCCATAAATGGCCTGATTAGCAGCAAAAGTTTATCAAGTATGGGCTCTGTGTTGAGGACGTGGATCTCCTTCATGCGGACAGGTAACGCTTCTTGGATGTAGGTGAAGAATTTGCGCAGTGACCTGAAATGGAATAAAAGATTGAATAATTAAGATTTTCATTACGCATACAGATGTTACATATTCCATACGCAATCTGGACATTTTTAGGATTTTTTCGTCACAAAGATCCGAAGGGCACTGCCACTACGCCCGTCACTCAGAGACATACGTTGATAAGTCCCTAAGTAAATAAGGTGGCAGTACTGCTCTGGACGCACTCTTTCACAAGAAGCTCTACTGCTACTAGAGTCTGTCTTACATTTAAACTTCCACTGATTTAGTAGGCAGAAACCGCCGCCTTACTCTGTCCTGACAGAACTTTCTAGCCTCACATATATCAACTACCCTTTTCATATAACTTTTTTTATCCGTGTCGCTTTGGATTCCTGCCTTTTTGAGGACATCGCTGATCTGGTCAATGTAAGTCGACGACTGTCATCCTCGTTAGCATCATAAATCTGTTTGGTAATTCTTCTTCCATCCATCCGCTCTACATGCCCAAACCACCTCAACACTCCTGTCTCCATCCTAGTCACCACATCCTCTTTCAAACCACATCTTTCACATATTATTGTATTCTTCACTCTATCAGTCAACCTTATGCCACAAATTTTTCTCAAAGATCTCATCTCTTCCATACACACCTTTCACTACCAAACGTCAGTGTAGGAACCAGCAAAGCCGTGTGTATGGACATGTGTGATTTTTGGTATATCGATTTACAGTTTAATAACCGAATCAACTGTAAAATAAGCTACGACGAATAGAATTGCTTTACATAATGAAAATGGTATAACATGAGCTAACAAAAACAACATCGAATATTGAGGACACTTTGCTTGAGGCAAGCATGCAATTTTTTGTCACTGAACGAACACTTAAAGCGATGATCTATTAGTGGATTAGTTTCGTTGATTTTCTGAATTTATATGTGATATATAAATTTAATATTGTTACAGAGCGTTACGAAAGGCGTATCGGTATGGCGTGGGTTGCTTTTGGTAAGGTAGATGACGTCTTTAAATCGAAACTCCTACAGTGCCTGAAGACCAAGGTCTATAACTAATGTGTCTTGCCGATCCTCACTTACGGTGCAGAAACATGGACGCTCACCAAGCAAAACATGCACCGGATCAACATGGATCGGGCACCAAACGTCGAAATTCGACGAAAAACGAAGGTCGATGACCTGGTAATCGCATCACGAAGTTAAGAACTAGACGAGAAAACGGACGATAGACCAAAGCAGTCACGGAGTGGTAGTCAAGAGAAGCAAAAAGGCCGACCACCGCCCGCCAGTCCGATGGTCTGATGGTATGCGGGATCGCGCTGAATGCGGACACTGTAAGAACGTAAAAGTTGGCGCAATAAAGAAGGGGCCCATACCCAGCAGTGGGTTGATTTTGGTTGGCCATGATGACAAAAGAAATCATGTTGAAATTATCTCAGAAACCGACAGAGTTATTTGGTATGCTCCCAGAAGAAGAAAAAAACAATGGAAATCCTTTAAACCTCGATTACTACCAGAACCGATGTCGCCAAAACTTACACATTCTTATTTTGCAACACTGCAAAATCTTGAAATTGATTGGTCGTAGTTTCAAATTTAAAACGAAATAACAAATTCTGGATTAATTAAATTTTTATTGAATTGACATTCAATTATTTTTTGTGAAATTACTCCACTAGTTTGTTATAATTATTAATACAAAGATCGAACACTCAGAAAAAATTCCTTCAACCCGGTCGGATTCGAACCGACGTCTTCTTGCATACCGTGCCAGACGCTATACCAACTAAGCCACGGAACGAACCAACGGACCTCACGAATTTTTCTATGTGCTTGCGTCGTGTCTTTGTACTTGGTCTTTCAACGACTTTTTAGTCGTAGCGCCATCTATGAGAAATCTATTGCAGATTTATCATGACACGGTATGCAAGAAGACGTCGGTTCGAATCCGACCGGATTGAAGGAATTTTTTCTGAGTGTTCGATCTTTGTCTTAATAATTATAACAAATTCTGGATTGTTAATATCTTTTAAACTTTACGCTGTTGGCATATTGTTGAAAGTTCAATCTCATCAATACATATTATACAACGTTTTGATATGATATTAAAATTTCAATAAATGTGCACGACGACGAATTGGAGTTATTAATTTAGTTCTCCAAACAAGAAGCGACCATATTGAAAAAGAAATATTTCGATAAACAGACCCCCGGACTTTCAGGATCCCGATTCACAACTGTTCGATATCTTAACCAAATCTTTCGATTGGATATCGTTCTCGAATCGAAGGGCGCTTTCCGAGCTATTCAGAACATTCGAGTTAAAACGTTCAATTCGGATTCGGATATGATATCGTTATCCAACAACGTTTAGGGAATTACTCGGCGAAAATAGATTATAAGAAAAATCTAATCCTTTTACCATTGACTTACAAATAAATGGACGACGGGTCTAATACAAAAACCACGAAAAAAATGTCCCAAGTCAACCTATTTAAACGTAGTGCCACGTAAAGGAATATGAAAAAGCTAAATCGTTGAATTTAAATTGTAATGTCATCGCAGTACTGTCTAATTTGAGAATGACGCTCTGTATACGATTTTAACGTCCTATAAGTTCGGACACTTTTTAGCGCGAACCCGACGTCCATATAATTGTAAGTCAATGCCTTTTACCTACATTTTTAAGACTATAAAGACCTAAAATATAGGAATGCGTTAGTCTCGCACTAAAATAAATTAATAAAATTGAACAAAATCCATATTTTATTTAAAATAATAAAAGATATATTACATAGTTTGTTATAATTATTAATACAAAGATCGAACACTCGGAAAAAACACTCAGAAAAAATTCCTTCGATCCGGTCGGATTCGAACCGACGTCTTCTTGCATACCGTGCCAGACGCTATACCAACTAAGCCACGGAACGAACCAACGGACCTCACGAATTTTTCTATGTGCTTGCGTCGTGTCTTTGTACTTGGTTTTTCAACGACTTTTTAGTCGTAGCGCCATCTATGAGAAATCTTTGACAGATTTATCACCCAGTTAGTACCTTTACAGCTACCAGTCCTGGCGAGAGATGTCGCTATTCACTGTATTAATTAAATTTTTATTGAATTGATATTCAATTATTTTTTGTGAAATTACTCCACTAGTTTGTTATAATTATTAATACAAAGATCGAACACTCGGAAAAAACACTCAGAAAAAAATTCTAAAATTATTAAAAATTACTACTTAATACTAAAATAAAATTATTATTAATAATTATAACAAACTAGTGGAGTAATTTCACAAAAAATAATTGAATATCAATTCAATAAAAATTTAATAGATATATTACATTCTTGCTTCGTAAACAATAGGACGTTCGGTAACTTTCATTCGATAACTGCGTTCTGAATAACGTTTGTTGTAGCTTTTGCCGGTCGAGAAGTTCGAGTAATCGTACGAGTGTGACGTCATTTCAGTTCGATTTCGAATACGACAGTGTGACGTTCGATTCGGGTGTTGCGAATAAAAATGAAAACAAATCGTACGATATCTAAACGAATCGGTCGACAACAGAGTTATCGTAAGGTTTTGAATCGACCTGCTGTAGATATGAAATATCACCACGGGTCATATTTTTAGTGCGGCAGTCATTTTTGCACTCCAAAACAGCACTACAAGGCATTTTTCTGAGATTTTAGATAATTTGCAAGAAAGACTGGCACAACCATATTATACAAAGCGACAATGGCGGATTGAGCTCAGACAGGTCTTTCGAGACCTATAGTTGGCAAGCGTTGAACGCTAACTAACCGCTTCTACTGTATTTATTGTTCTGTGGGCATTGACTTACAATTATATGGACGTCGGGTCCGCGCTAAAAAGTGTCTGCACTTGTAAGGCGCTAAAATCGTATACAGAGCGCCAAACTCCGCTTTAGTCTTCATTTGTTCTACTGACAGCGCGATACTGCGATGACATTACAATTTAAATTTCGAATAGGTTGACTTGGGATATTTTTTTCGTGGTTTTTGTATTAGACCCGTCGTCCATTTATTTGTAAGTCAATGTCTGTGGGTAGTCGATTATGCCAATATGCGTCAATCAATTTTTATATTTTATAATCATATCCATGATTGTTTAATATATTTTAATATTATAACCGGTAATAAAAAATACAGTGATCACCATAAACTGGTGATGTTAAATTACGAAACATGATGTGACTAATCTACTCGTGTTTATAAATAAATTAACTTGATTATTCTACTCTTCGTTTAATGGAAAATTTATACATATAGAATTGTTTGTTATTAAATGAAATATGTACACTTATTATGATGGTTTTTTGTACATGATAATAATGTTGCTATTTTTAATCTTTTACCTTTGCTTTTCCTTTTGAAAGCTAGAACATATAATTTAGCATGTATGTAGTTTATACGGTTTGTTTTAAACAATTTTAGAAAAAAAAAATATAAAAATACGAAATCGTATAAACAACATAATGATATAAAGAAAAACAATGTGGCACACATAAAAATTTTACTCTTCAATACACAGCATTTGAAATTTTTTTAATAGTCTCGCACTAGGGAAACTGTATGGAGGGTGCCATGGACAGACACATAGACAACAACAAATTGAGAGATATAAATGTAGGTCATACAAATGTTTCTCCCGGCCCGGGAATCGAACCCGGGACCTCTGCGTGGCAGAGCAGCATGGTAACCTTTCGGCCACGTCCATCATACTAAAACAAATTTCAATTTAGGGGACATTACCTTTGCTTAATTTTTATTTCACTATGCAGCCTACACGAATCTACTAGTTTTTTGTTATGCAAGGCTGCAAAGTTGTTGTTTAACGCGTGCTTGTGTTGAAACCTGAGCAAGAGAAGGAGGCGAAAAATAGAGTCCTGAGCGTAGCGAGGGTTTCAAGCCAAGAGAGGGAAAACAACTTTGCTGCCGAGCGAACACACAACTTTTCACCTCACTATAGCGAGGAAAATGGTAGATGAAAGAAAAACAGTTGAACTATAACAAACTAACTTAATAAACAAAATTAGTTATTAATTAGTATTATTGTTGTCAATTTAATGTCATCAAAAATAACAAAATATACCAACGGATTTATATTACATATTATAATGTACGACAAATCGCGTAGTTGAATGTGTCATTATGTTTTTTTTTTCATCAAAAGAAAAAGTTAGGTGCAGCACAGTTCATCGTCAAGTTCGAATTTCAAAAACCTTTTCCGTGCTAGCGTGGAAAAAACGTTTTTCTAATGAGAAAGGAAGCCTTTCCGAGCTAGTGAGGTAAAAAATTAATTCATTCAAAATAATTAAGTTTCATACTTACGACAAACTGACACGCGTTAAGTGGCCCAATTTGACTCCTTGCATATCAAATAAGAAGATGTAGCCTGGCTGTGGACCTCTTTTGTACAGGCATGCATCTGAAATTGAAAAATAAAATAAATTTAACGTATTTTTACTATTTTATGAAATTTCTATCTCATGTTATTATTAAAGTAAAACCCACCAAATAGTATATTTTTTATCGATGAACTAAAACGAGCCAATATTTACCCGAGGTGGTAAGCCACCCAAGCTGTATAGCGAGGTAATTTTACTTTTCAATTCGATTGCGAGAAAAAAAAAGTTTCAATTGTTTACGCTCTACAACAAAACCACGAACAGATACAACAAACGCAACAAAATGTCACGATTAGCGGTCTTTGACAATCATGAGCGTTTTTCGAATAATTTAAGTTCTACATGTCACGTCACTAAAATGGTACATACACAAAAGTACAAACGTGCGAAACAATATGGCGTCACCTTCTATGCGGTAAAAACACGGAAGTAAAACCGAGCGTAGTCGTAGAATGTAACATTTTCGCGACGAAAATGGTCCACACTTTGATGCTTTGCACCTAAGCTGGGCAAGTTCCGATTGTACCACCGCACTATGCATTACCATGCCGGACTGACACGCAGAGGTCCCAAGTTTGATTCCCGGGCCGGGAGAAATATTTGTAAGGCCTTCATTTATTTCTCTCGTGAGTTTGGGTGTAATTTGTGGTTGTCTATGTGTGTGTCCATCGCACCCGCGACACAGGGTTTCCCGCGGGGCTATGTTGAGTGTGTGCGTTATTATTATTATTATTGTTCCTTATTGTTTTGTTTATATGCGTGTCTGTGGCTGTGTAATAAACAGTTTTCTTTCTTCTTTCTTTCTTTCTTTGAATTGAATTTCCGCAGCGCGGCGATCTCTGTCAAACTGTAGGGTTATTTAATTTGATGAATTATTAGAATGTAATGCGTTTATTAAAATGGTATTAAATTATTTTTATGTGAAATTACTCCATAATTTTGTTGTAATTATTAATACAAAGATCGAGCACTTAGAGAAATTACTTAGATCCGGCCGGATTCGAACCTACGTCTCCTAGGAAACCGAGCGAGGCGCTATGCCAACTATCTGGTCCGTCCTAAAAGTATCGAACATTTTTCAGGAAAAATACTTTTATTGAACTTATCGGTACCATACATTAGTACTCTTCAAAATAACACCCTTCAGCATCGATGCACTTTTGTAGGCGAGTTTTCCATGCCCGGAAGGCCCCCTGGAAGACGTCAACGGGTAGGTCCTTCAGCGCCCTCGTCGTAGCTTCTTGGATGTCCTTAATTGTGCCCCAATGCTTGCCTTTGAGCTTCGACTTGATGCTGGGAAACAAGAAGAAGTCTGCCGGGGCGACGTCAGGACTGTAGGGAGGCTGCGGGACCAGCGGGCTTCGTCGGTCACCTCTTCCCTTCCGTCACGGAACATCTTGTGCCACTTCCTGACCGAGGATTCGGACAAGGCTTTGTCCTTGAAGGCCTGTTTAATCATCTCGTTGGTTTCCACAGTATTTTTGCCGAGTAGAACACAAAATTTCACTGCGTACCTCTGTTCTAACGGATCCGTCATCGCGCTACTTTTAAAAACTTCGACGAGGTGTCGTTTAGAGCTCTACGCGAACGCACGTCCTGCCGCTCCAGGTGCTCGGAGCCAACTGGGACCGGTCGCGCTGTATCGGCTAGATCCCCCCACCACTTTCTGTTGCCAAGCGGAGCGCTTCCCGCCGTTCGGCAACACTCCCAAAAAAAATGTTCGATACTTTTGGGACGGACCCTGTAAGTCACGGAACGAACCAGCACACCTCGCGAATTTTTCTGTTTGTCGTATCTTTGTTTTTGGTTTTCAACTACTTTTTGACCGCAGCGCCATCTATGAGAAATCTATGAAAGTATTTCGTCACTCAGTTAGGTAACTTTACTGCTACCAGCCCTGGCTAAAGATGTCGGCTTTAATTGTAATTAGATGTTTATTGAGGGTGTTTCTCTTCTTAAACTTTCACCTTTTGGCACAAACTAGAACAAATGCTGGCTGTTTAAGTATATCTAGGTCACTCGAAGTAAATTAGAAAACTAGGTTCTTTTTACGCCCTAGGGATTAAATGATGCACTTTAGTCTCGCTAAATTAGGCTATATTGACGTACGTAGAGCACGCGAAATGAAAATGGTTTTTTTTTCTCTCTCCATTGCACTCCAATTTTTTGTTTTTTCATCATCATCCTTCCTATGTAACATGTACAACGACGTTCTTTTATATGCTATTTTGATGCTATCCCTATATAATTACTTTTAAGTTTACGCAGTAGTCTTTTCAAAGAAAGAGAAGGGGATTTCAGAAATAACATCAGGTTTAAAACTATTGCACGATTATTTCATTCTATTCGTACGTAATTTTTAGCTAAAAAGATTTTAAACTTAGTTACACTTAAGCTTGCTGAGTTTCCTCATCTAATTTTCGATAAAGCGTACCCGCTTGCCAACTTTAGTTAGGTTTAAACTCAAGTTAGAAGTTAGTTATATAAAGGCTATGTACTGTAGAGTTAAACACAACCGTTGCAGTATTTGTAGATAGCTCTAAATGAATGAATGAAATATTCTTTATTACACATAAAACTACGGTTAAAATGCAATAAAGATGGTAAGATAATGTGCAACCGGCGGCCTTATTGCTATGTAGCAATTTCTTCCAGGCAACCTTAGGGTAGAAATTTGGGATATGCAAAAGGGGTGCAACCAAAGAATATTATTATAAGTACACTACATAATAATTATTAACAAACTCATACACGTAGATAGAAATATCCATACAAATATTGTTAAAACTTAACAATACATAAAAAGGATAGTGGAGAAAAAGACAAAACTTAGGAGTTGAGAAAATAATCCTTGACACGTCGTTTTAAGGAATCAAGAGAAGGGGAATCTTGAATTGATTCAGGGAGAGAATTCCACAGTTCGCAGAAACGGTAAAAGAGTTGGAATAAAAATTAGAGGTATGTTTAGTAAGATAGTATCAGAGGAGCGAAGGGCATGGCAGAGTGTAGAAGAGTGGAAAGTAAAGCGGTCTTTGAGATGAGAAGGCGTAAAGGGACAGAATAGAATTGAGTAAAGAAGGGAAAGAATATGAAGATCTCTTCGCTGGTGGATCTTTACATTGAGTACTTCTGCTTTATTACAGTACATAGCGCTAACTATGAACGCAAAGTTTGTTGCATGACAGTGTGATTGGTACGTGCTTTCTACAGGCCTACTGCCACTTTGTTTTGTTCCGTCGTCACTCTCTACTTAATCTGTGAAGCGAAAACTCCAACTCGTCTACTCCGCTAATTTTGATCCGTTTACCAGTTTCCATTTTAAATTATGTGCCTAATTAATACCACTAAAATACGGCCATTTCGGGGTAAGTCTACTGTCTCCTAATTTTACAGTATTTAGCTAGGAAGCGTTTTTTAATATTGTACCTGTTTTATATACCACTTTTTGTTGCAGCCTTTTTCGTTCACCTTTATCGTATACAATAAATTCATGTAGACCGAATAATCTATTACTAGTGCTCCCTACTGGCGGTTTACAACCTTTTCTACTAAGTCGGTTCCTGAGGTAGCTGTGCGGTGCGGGGAGAGTAACCGCTTACGTAACATCATGTCGTGCTGCACACGGAATAATTTCAACAAGATTTTTCTGACGATATTCAATAACAAGTTGCTTGAAAAAAATAAGTAATAGGGTAAAAATAAAAATAAAAAAAAACCCTATAATAGCTTTTAATTAAATTGTGCACGTACATTCAGGAAAAGTCAGAGGTGCAAGCAAGAGGTGCCCGGTTTCAAAACCACGACCGTTTGCTTGAGAGGTGGTAGGTTAGGCTACCACGGCTCATTCTGATGTGCAGTTTAAGTTTTAGATGGAGAGGACCTCAAAAATCAGGTCATAAAAATGACTATTGTTCTTCAGTCACCACAGATTACACTAAGCGTTTCTCTACCCACAGTATATAAAAAAAATATTGCCTTGTCCATGACCAACAAAAAATGATTTGTAGTTTAGTGGATTTTTTAATACTGTTCAATTAAGCGGCTTAAGCCTCAACAGTCTCGATGTTCCCGAGGCCGAAAAAACATTTCGAGTCTTGAAAATACCATAAAATTATCGAGAGCCTCGGAACTCTCGAAACCGAGATTCCGGGAAAAGCTCTAAATCCTAAAGAAAGAGAAAGCCCTAATCCTAGTGTTGTGAAGAGATACAACATGGGGTCGGAATAGTCTGCCACTCGTTACTGGTACGTTCGAAATGGGCGTATCTGTTCCAAGTCCGCGTCTCATGACGGCTTATGGGGAAATAACATCTCCTGAAAGCGAGAGCCCCCTCTGACACAAACACTATGCGCGTGATACAGCAATGAAAAATGGTGGGAGAAAAAGGGAAAGGAAAAAAGAAAAAGGGAAAATTGCATTACAGGCATTCCCACGCGCAATCCTGTATGCTCCTTATCACGAGCGATAGAGTGAGTGTGTAAAGGAGGCTAATGCAAAAGCGCCACAGAGTCTCCGGCTCCGGCATATGGTGAGGTCCAGTCACAGTCAGGTTTTAGTAGGTAGAAATAATTTTCGTCTCCCCGCACGGAGTATCCGTGACGATTTCCTGACGTAAAAAATGCTGTCGAAGCCGTATATCATATGTGAGCAATCTTAAAACGTTTTCCATTAACTGTTAGTACTAACAATAAGTTAAATCTTACATAACCGCATTGAACAAAGAGCCGTAAAAATAACTCAATAGAGAAAAGATAACATACGTCTGGACAAGGCTTATCGGTGCCACAGAATTGTTATTACTAGTTTTAGCTCACTAGAGTCTTAACAGGACACTGTGGCTTGAACAAGCACATAATTATCAAATATTGGGCAGAGAGAGAATAGAGAGTGTAGATTCTGCCACAAGGTGGACGAAGCATCAATTTAATGAGCCCAAACACGATTGTTTTGCTATGAATAGTTGAGAAATTGGGTGGTCTATAGACTGTCCCGGTTGTAGCATAACATCAAGGCCATCATGTTATCATATAAATGGAAGTAAAATAAATATGTAATGTATGACTGAGATCTAACTAATTGGAGAAAGAGCTGATAATCTTTAAACAGATGAACAGATGTTCATCACACATAGATAAGAACCATCTGATTAAATTAGCTTTCAAATAAAAAATACTATAAGATTAGCCCAGTCGCTTGGGAGCTACGATGCCCATACACAGATATAGGTTTCAGACTTATAATGCCCTTCTTATTGCGTTGGGGATTAAAAAAATAGGTTTTCGTCAGGTGCATTAACCGCCATTCAATCCCTTCCAAAGCCTTTTTCCTCAAATGACGGCTCAGGCTTTTTTTTGTTTGGTCAAAGAACTTAATCTCGGTATATGTCCATCGTCTACCCTTGCCTTCGGTCAGGATTTTAATAGAGGCCATGTCTTTTTCTGTTTTCAACTATCTTCAACAAGTTTCTGCTTAATTTTCCTCTTTTTAGTGTTTCCTCATTATTTCTATCCGCCTCCAACATGACACTTCACAATCCTACAATTATTTCCAGTTCTTTTACGTCACTGTCCACGTTGCATGCAAACGCTTTTACGTTTTTCACTTTGATTAATTTTGTTATTTCCAAAATGTATGTATGTTTTTATCACAACACTTGACTTATCGTAAAGACGTAAACCGTATATCCGTCGTAATAACATTGCCTAAATAATTAAAACTTTGTACTTTATCCAATGCTATATTGTCTAATTTCACTAGCCTATAAGTTTTTAGTGTTTTCAACGTGGTGAAGGTCTTAGTTTCTTCACGTTATTTGTTAGTTGAAATTCCGGCAATGTCACAGGTGAAACGCAAAAATATATATATATAATCATCTACTTTCAGTCGTTAAAACGTTTCATGTATTCTTTACAAGTCAAACTCAATATAGATATTAAAGAAAAGGGGGAAAAAGAAGCAACCCTGTCTTACTCCCCGCCTTGGATTACAGAAACTATTCTGTCTTCTATTTCTATAGTTATTTCCTGGTATTTATACAGTTTGATAATTATCGTTCGGTCTTTGAAATCCAATCCAGCATCTTCCAAAACCTAGAACTTTATTTATCCGTCAATTAACCTCGTCAAAAGCCTTTTCTATGTCGACAAAGGCATTTAGCCTTTAATACATTTTAAATTATTAAACGTACGACCAAAATTGCTGTTGTATTCGTTTTTTTTATTCCAAATCCGTATCCGTTCCCTAAATTTTATTTATTTTGGTTTGTTTACATTTCAATGTAATATTCGACGCCTATGATTTGAGACAGAGTATACTGTTCTTGGCAATTGTAATGTTTTAGGTTTATTTGGTAAGGTTACCGTGATACTCATTTTTATTTTGGCACTTCGCCCGTATGATATGTCTAACGCTAATTAGAAAGTTTCGTTTTAGAGTAAATCGTTATTAGAAGTAGTAAATTAATAGACAAAAATCTTACTTCTGGCAAAAATGTAGATAGAGTTGTAAGAAAAGAAAGAAGCTTTTAAAACTTGTTCG